GCTACTGTATTATCGAAGTAAAAAACGTTGGTGTGAAGACTTAAGTTTTGTGGGTTTCTTATTGCAGTATCCTAATGTACTGCAACAAGAAACTCGCCAAACTTAAGCCTTAAAAAAAAAAACAACAACAACACAACAAAGAAGCCAATTTGAGGCTCCTGGTAGTCTCGGGAATCTGTTATAGTAACACAAAAAGCCGCGGGTCTAATGAATCTATTTCTGTGACGACGTACCGATGCTTCTGTCCAGTTTTTTTGTGTGAATTCGCTAGATTTTTGTTTTTAATTTCCGTGAGCTGCCGCGGCGAAGCAGGAGTCAGGAGCACGCTAGATCTTTGTCCACACGGATGACTACGACGACCCCTCTCTCCTTTAAGAACACCCATACAGATCCACCGTGCAGAGGAAACACTCCGGTCTCCGTGTTCAAGCGCAAGCGGCGCCGCATTTCGACGCAGCGGTGGAGTGGGAGCTGAGTGCGTAACTTTGGGAGCAAGCGACAGAATACAAATACAAATACACCCTAATGAAGAAAACGCCTGACGAATAAATAATGCCAAAGGCGTATCTTCACATTTAAGAGAACGAATGGGTCAGGTTGGCTACTAAAGAAATTGGTAGTTGAGGTGGGGAGCTGCGTCAGCATGCGTAGGCTGCAAAGGAACAAGTAAAGGTTTACTCCATGCTGAAAAGAGAAGAAAGAAAACACAACATTTCGGCAGTGAAGAAGGTTCCACGCCCGAAACGTTGTGTTTTCTTCTCTTTTCAGCATGGAATAAACCTATTACTTGTTCCTTCACTAAAGAAAATGTCAACCTTTGCTCGATATTAGTGTACATCACTGCACATTCGCACAATGCCGTGAACGAGCTGAACTTAAAGTGACGTTCAGTACAGGACGAAATATTTTCTTTTTTAGGACAGGTGTGAGTTATTCTTCCGCCTACGCCAGCTGTACCTTACGATCCCGAAATGATACCCCTTCTCGCCCACAAAGACGGGGTGTGAGTTCTTTGGGGGGCTCCGAGGGTACCGTGCCGTGTTGAAAAATTACGAAATTACGAAAAGTCAGAGCGCGGTCTGGAAAGTAAAGAAATACTTCATTTTTTGCTCTCGAGTTAGTATCATTTTCAATCAAAAAATGCTATAAAAAGAATAAATTGAATCAATACTGCGCCGCAGAAGATCTCTGTAAAGGTCACCGGCGTTTGATGAAAAGCAGACATTGGGAAGCTAGGAAGAGGATCTGTGCTTTTTTGTGCGTTCCGTATTCAACAAGTTTTTTTTTTTAAAGCCACGTAGATCATAGACGAAAGACGTTTCCATCAAAGGTGGATTAGCACTTAATTACCTCCCAGCGGAATGTCAGTGGCGCGTCATCTGTGTTTGGGATTCGTCTGCGTCTCGCATTTCTGCAAAAGCTGTACGAATCTACGTGGAATTCTCCCGTTTATTTTTGGTGCTTCTCAAACAGATCTTTCTCTGGGAAAGCAGAAGACCTCAAATGGCATACACAGTGTTCTCTAGCTCTCTTACCGTCTTCAGCAAAGGCTTTTATTTTCAAAATATGAAGATTTGTATACCGCATGCCCAAAGCTCATATTCCACGTTAAAATTACGAAATTAAGTCAGACCGCATGGAGTCAGAGACGCATAGATTTTACTACAAGGGCAGTAGTGTGAAGGGTGGCTAAGAGGAGGGTGAGGGAGGAACAGGCAAGCAAGGATAAATTCAGCCCACGACCTGTTCGGTAGTTAGGAGGTAACTCGTCAGCGGATCTCATTAAAAAAACAGGATATCAGCTTCAGCCACATGACTTGCTCCATACTTCCACAATCCTTTGTGTAAAGTAGTGCTTGCTGTCCTGATTGGCAGATCTCATCCTGGCAGACTGTTCCAAACTCCCACACCCCTGTGGGTACAGAAGTGCCTCTTGTTCTTAGTTTTAAATGCCCCTCCATGTACAGTAGGTGTAGTGTGGAAGCTGGTTAAGAGATCTGAGTGGTACTTCACTCAGATATTTCCAGTTAATGCCCTGCTCTACAAGTAGGTACAAATGCAAGTCACTATGGATAACCTCGTCAACCAAATAAATGAATTATAAGAGTGAGGAGCTATTTCTGCCATGTATGAGCATGCAGTTGCTCTTAATTATGGGAACATATTTGAACAACACCACGATGCCGAGGAGATGGAAATCTGTAAAAAGACCTCTGTTAACACCATTTGCGTATTTTATGTCAATATTTCACCCTAATTGAAAATATAGCAAACTTTGACTATGTATTCAAAAAAACAAAATTAGACAATTAATTAATTATTCAATGTTAATTAATCTCTTTAGAGATTCTGCTCTCCTCAGGCTTGTGAAACGACAACAAGAGCTCATTAGTATTCCTTCCCACGATACGCACCCAAAACTTTCTCACAGCATGTGGAGCTGACAATCGCTGGCGCCTGCGCACTCCTCACCCTCTCCCTGAAAAGAATAAAGAAGACTAGGGGGGAAACCCGGGAGTCAATTATTCAAACCCCTCTAAGTCAGCCCACCGGACTTTTTCAGAACCAGTGGTGAAGCATGAACCGGCGTTACATATACTAGACGATGGCGAGGGGGAAAGGATTCTGCCTCGTCAATTTTAATGTTGTTAACGGAGAAAACCTTCCTCACGCATGCTATAACAAGCCACCCAGACCCAAACCTTCTCAATTAACATTTAACTTTTGAAGGTAGGTGATTACACACAAATGCCAGTCCTAATTCGTCGCCGTAGTCCTCATTCTTAAGGGGGGGGCAGAACTGCGTTATTACAGTTCCTGTGATTTTATTTGGCTGAATAATGAATCAAAGACAAGGGATCACTACAGAGGCAGCAGCATTATTCCTGACCCCAAACCTCTCCTCGGTCTTCAGAAATACCTTCCCAGCGTATAAATCAGTTTTGTGTGGGGAGCTAAGTGGAGCTAAAAAAAGCTGTCGGCGTTAGCACAAGGTCTCCACGGTCTGACGAAGAACCGGGCAGACAGACAGAGGGAAGGGAACGTGTTCTGTAACCTTGTTAGATCATTGGCTTTGTTGCCTAATAATATCAAAAGGGCTCATGCTGTAGGTTTGTCGTCCTGAACTGGAGGCACTTCAAAGACTCACAGGGCTCGGCCTCAGGAATCCTGCTGCTCATATCGAGTGGCTTTATGTGAGTAATAATCTCACCACTGAAGGAAGATCATGCAGCCTTGCAGTCAGAGGATGACGTTAATTAATGACATTGGCCTATTTTCAAGATGGATCCATGGCATGTGTAAATAGAAAGCATCTTTCCCTGGAATATCCTTTCAAGCTTCTGCTCGTTTCAAAAGCAGAACTAACTTGGCAAAACAGAAACACATTTTTCCCCCTTAGGAACAGGTGTCCCCTGTCCTGGTCCTGGAGGGCTGGTCAGTGAGTCTCCAGGTTTACCAAGTCTCTTTAAAACAGCTGGGAGAGGCCATTAAACTGGAGCAGGTAGTTTTTGGTAGTTTTCTTGACATTGGTGTTTTTTACTGGGTGTCTGACATCTGGCTACAGAATGAGAGACGTGGTGAACTGTGACCTTTGTGTTGTAAATATCAAATCAAAGTTTATTTATCAAATGCACAACAATACAGCGTGCAGCAGTAGCTGCTGGTAATTCAATGTCTTTTTTTTTTCTAAGATCACTTTATTGGACAAATACAATTTCTTGCATTAGGAATTGGTCTTTTCGCAGACCCCAGCTTGCTCTCCATGAGACACACAGACAGGGAGAGAAGCTGGGGGTCAGAGCGCAGGGTCAGCCATTTATACAGCACCCCTGGAGCAGTTGGGGTTGAGGGCCTTGCTCAAGGGCCCAATGGAGCAGGATTTCTAAGCTGGCAGCAGGATTTGAACCAGCAACCTTCTAGTTACAGGTGCAGATTCTGAGCCACAGCACCACCACTCCGCTTTTTTCTGGCGAAAGAGGTAGTTGCCAGCCTTACGAAGCATCTTGGAAACAGCGCTGCACCTCCCCGGACACAGCGCACACACAATCAATAGCTGCGATCAATGATTGTTTCAAACTCATTTTGAGCTTATCTCAACTTCAGTGCTATTGAAGAAAGAATAATTCGAGTTTTCCCTTTTCAATGCACCAACACAAAAAAAGAAGAAAATATATGTGTACAGTACTCCAAATGCAAGTGGGAACGTACAGTGCACACAGCAGGCATGAATTGTGTCTATAAGAAATCTTGGTGCTTTTCATTACCTCTTGACAATTTTCCAATAGTGCAATTTAAACCTTTAATAAGCCATTTTCACTCCTTTCATGAAATGTTAATCCACTGAATTCTGATTTATTTTCCTTTTTGATTAGTGTACACGGCTGAGATAAAGACTGAGCACACTATTTCATTTGTACAGTGCTGTAGATGTTCAGCTAAGTCACTGCAGCACACCTTTGCTTACGACTTCAATCTGCTGCTTTTTCCTTCTTGCACAAGGAAAAATGAAGGACAGAGAGAAGTGTTTGTGCTCTGGAAAACGGGTTTCTGAAAAGATTTCAAGGTGCAGGCGACAGCAAGCAGGGATGCCTTTGTCAAAGACGAAAAGGTGTTTCAACAACAAGATGATCCCCCCCCACCGAAGAACATGCAGAGCAAATACGTTCTGAAATCTTTTACGAACGTACAAATGAGAGAAAGGCCGTTGGCTTATTTGGTAGTTAGGGACTGTGTGATTCAAGAACTTCACTCAGGATCCCCCTTCAGTAGCGTGTTCCAAACTCCCGCCTCCCTTTGTGTAAAGAAGTGGGTCCTGCTCTTACCTGCAGTTTCTACGCATGCCCCCAGCGCGTGCGTCAACGTTTCTTCTGAAAGAGCCCGCTGGATTGATTTTTGCCCCCTGCCTTCTTCCTCTTTGCTGCGAAAGCTGAGTCCGGCGGGAGACCTGTCTGGTGAGCTGCTGCAGGTGCTTGAGGGGGTAGTCAGATCACAGCGGGGAAGGGAATATCAGCTGCCAGTATCAAAAGCGAGCGAGATGCTTCGTCTCCAAAAAGGTCCGAGCCCACTGGTGTGAGTCTCCCCCCCTGGGGGTCTTCACGTTACATTATTTAATTATTTGTTTAACGGAATTATTTTGTTTATATCCACCCGATTGGGCACAGCCACTTGTGTTTTTACATGCCTCTGCTCACGGGTACAATGCCCCCGGTCACTGTCCTCATGCCCCTCACCCCATCCAGTACCGGAGATCCCATTAGGCACTGTAGGCACAGTGTTCGTTGGTGGCACAGTAGGCACAGGGCCTAGGGCCTACGAAGGAGGGAAACACTAGTGACTGACGGAAAACGAGCTGAAACAACATGCTTGCGATCGACTCTCAGTGCTCCAG